AATACATAACACAGTGAAGAGTGATGCATCAACCATGTCCGCAAGGAGCTTTCAAAAAGTCTTCATTCTTAAATTGTACACAATAAAACAATTGCTTTTAAATGGAAGGTCCTTCTAGACTTTCTATTTTTAATAAAAATGGTAACAAAGCAGCAGTTTAAAAAAAAAGAAAGAAAAAGGTGACCATGAAAAAAAGGATGATTTAATAGCAAATGGGGTCTAAAAAGAACTGGCAGGTAATCACCAAGGTTATAATGAAGGCCCAGACACTGCCAGCTGACTAGCACTGTTAGGTAGATGAGCCTGAACAATATTTCCCTGGTCTAAAGGTCAATTCGTGCTGTAGATTGACAACTATGTCTTAGCATGAGGCAGTAAAAAAGGTTTCTTCAGTCAAATTCCAGAAAGCTGGTAATATTCTTTGGTCTAAATTCTTCACTAAATTTTAAATGTACTACTTTCTGACATCTGCACTTCAAATGTGTGTTTTGTCAAGAGTCTAGATTTAAAGATGCAGCTTTACACAAACGCAAACACACAGTTCTTGCTGTCCAGGGTTATCAGAAAACACAATTTAAGGAACTGATTTTGGCTAGCATTTTGGTAGAGCGGGTGAAACATCTCATATGTGTACCAGTTTGCATACTGGCTGCTACATCTCCCCCTTCTAGCTCTCTGCAAATTGCCTGGGAAAGTAGCAAAAGAAGCCCCCAAGTGTTTGAGCTCCTATCAGCAACATGGAATACCTGGGTGATGCTCCTGGCTTCTGGCTCCTGACTCCTGGCTGACACCTGGCTGACCTGTGATGGTTGAGGCCTTCTGGGGAATGGTCTGTCTGTCTGTCTCTCTCTCTCTCTCATTCTGCCTCTAAGTAATTCTGACTTTCAAATAAATTTTCTTCAAAACTTGAATTCAAGGTCAAAGTTTTAATAGAAAATGAGTGCCTACACCAAGGAACAAATGCCTCCTACTCAGGTTTTCACATAATAAATACTTTATGTAAACAGATTATTTAAATCTCTTCATGTCTAACAACAATGCTATAACATTCTTCCCAGTACTTTCTCAGTTCCTTTTAAAACACATTTGACACTGACAACTAAAGGTGCAATTAAACGCTAGGAAACAACTTCTGTTTGACTTGTAAGAGACTAACACAGTCCTACTGTAAATTACATAGGAGTAAGAGAGAATGAGGAAGGACATTCTCTCTGTGCTGGGAAGTAAAGATATCCAAGACAAGCTATATGGGTAAAAAGTAAGGCGCAAACAGAGTATGTGATATGCTCTGTTATACAAAAAAACGGGAAAAAATGAGAATGCAGATCTTTCTTTGCTTATATACTCATAAGGAAGCTCCAGAATAGTGCAGAATAAACTGATACCAGAGGTTACCTGGAAAGGACTAAACACATGAGGATCAAAGAGGCAAAGGAGGAAAGTCAGTGTAAACCCTCTTTATTTGTTTTAATTTTTAAATTGTTAATTTGGGCCCGGCGGCATGGCCTACTGGCTAAAGTCCTCGCCTTGAACGCGCCAGGATCCCATATGGGCACCGGTTCTAATCCTGGCAGCTCCACTTCCCATCCAGCTCCCTGACCGTGGCCTGGGAAAGCAGTCGAGGACGGCCCAAAGCTTTGGGATCCTGCACCCATGTGGGAGACCCGGAAGAAGTTCCTGGTTCCCAGCTTCAGATTGGTGCAGTACCAGCCGTTGCGCTCACTTGGGGAGTAAATTCATCGGATGGAAGATCTTCTTCTCTGTCTCTCCTCCTCTCTGTATATCTGACTTTGTAATAAAAATAAATAAATAAATAAATTGTTAACTTATTTATATTTCCAACTATTTAAATAAATCTGTGGGAAAATGGGCTCCAGCAGGGATTATTCTGATTCAATTCTACCCTGCACCATAATAATTTGCTGACTATTATTTCTTCCGTTAAGGTCTATTGATTATTCAAAAACTCTACTTCTTAGGAAACAGATTACCCAGGAGAAGAAAGATAAAATACAATCATATGTAAAGAATGTATTACCTTCTCTTCCAACATATTCATCTAAATTGATAATAACAATATTGTGCCTCACCTAGCTAGTGAAAGGGACATATATCTTCTTTGCCCAGGACACCACAGTAGAAAAATTATTGTATTTATATACATTCTACCTACAAATTTTTAAATAGCTACCTTGTCCATTGGGCCTATTTACTGCTATTACAATTTGATGAGTGTTACAATTTCAAGATACACATGTATTTTCAAAATAACAACAGACAAACTGCAACTAGTTTTCTAATTTAAAAAACAGGTGAAAGAGGTATGCTTGCAGAAAACAGGCATCAGTCATCCCACAGTCAGTGCCTCCTCTCTGGGCTCCTACCACAGAGGACTTCCAGAGCTGTCTCATGTCACACATGCTTCTAGCACTTTCCAGAGAGCGCATCTCTATCTGCCATTCCTTCCCCACCTATAAAGTTCAACTGAAGTGAGTTTCCTCAATTTCTGTCAGAATTCATCTTTCCTTCTATTTCTGTACACTTTTTTGGTTTGTTAGTTTTTGTTTCTGAGGCATGGAGACTGAGATACAGCCCCACAGAGAATTCCCATCTACCGAGTCATTCCCCAAAAGGCCTGTAACAGATAAGGCTGGACCAGGTAGAAGCTAGGAGTTGGAAATGCAATTCAGGTGAGTGGCAGGAACCCCACTGCTTGAACCATCATTTTATTGCAGAGTCTGCACTAGCAGAAAGCAGGAGTCAGGGGCAGGTATCCAACCTAGGCACTCCAATACGAGACATAGCATTTTAACCACTGGGTCAAATACCCACCAGCAAACTGTTTTCCAGTAAACTTTGTGCCTGTAAATCTGCAAACATGAGATCCTTAGAAGTGACAGTTCCTTCTATTCATATTTATATCCTTGTGAATGATCTTTATTTCTTATCAATAACAGCATCAATTATTAACAACAATAGATAAAAACAAAAGCCAGGTATTGCATCAAGCACACTGATAAATGTATTTCCTCATTTCATCAATACGGCTAGGAATATGGAGGAACAAAGGCATAAGCAACTTTCCCAAAGTTTTTACACTTAGGACAGGTCTAAGAGGCAGAATGAGGCTTAGAGCCCAGCCTCTGTTCACAAATGTCTCCTTTCAACCACTTTGCTCAGGATGCAAGGTCCTGGAGATGGCATTGTGGTGTAGCAGCAGATAAGGCTGCTGAAGATGATGGGGCAACGTACTGGTTGCTCCACCTTCAATCCAGCTCTCTGCTAATGGCCTGGGAAAGCAGCAGATGGCTCAAGTGCCAGGACACATATCCCTGATAGGGAGACTCTTATGGAGCTCAGGGTTCCTGCCTTTGTCCTGGCTATTTTATGGCTGTCTGGGGAGTGAGCTAGCAGGTAAAAGATCTCTCTCATTATCTCTCCCTCTCCCTCTGTAACTCTAACTCCAAATAAACAAATAAATTCTTTTAAAAAGAACTGGGGAGAGTCATTAACACTGCCATTATTACCATTTCTGAAAAACACAACACTGTGTTTTACAAAGGCCTTCCAAAGTATAGTAGCCTTTGGGAGTGGAGAAGGAAAACAGTTTTCCATCATCATTAAAACTCATCTAATACAAAGCCTGTTCATTCCAGTCTGTCCTTCAATGGCTGGTTAGCTCTGATGGCTTGGGGATATTTTCCTTTCACCATGCCAACTCCAGTCTTATGCCCTTTGAGCTCATTGAGAAGAATAAGCTCAACAGGTATTCCTCAGCCCTGTGCCTCCTGCCACTTTCACACCCACCTGGATCTCTCCTATGCCTCTTCAGTGTCTCACAATCAGACCAGAATCCCTTGGACCTTAAAGGATTTCTTTTTAACTTACTCATTCAAATATTTACAAAAACGACAGGGAAGCTGCCACATTGGGATACCCACACCCATGACCAGGTTTTGAGTCCCATCTCTACTCTAGCTTCCTGCTAATGCATACACTGAGAGACTGCAGGTAATGGCTCAAATAACCCCTACCATCCATATAGGAGAACCAGATGAAATTCAGAGCTCCTGGCAGCAACCTGGCTGTTGCAGACATGTGCGGGAAAAATTATTGGATAGAAGATCTCTCTCTCATTGCCTCCCTCCTTCCTTTTCTCTCTCCCACTCACCTTTTAAATAAATGAATAGAAGTTTTGTTTTTGTTTTCTTATTTCATTTAGTAAAAGCACCTCAGCATCGGCAAGGAGACCAGCCTTCTGAGGATTTATAGCAAGCAGCAGGGTAAGATATGGTAGTAAGAAGTCTCCTTAGCTGCTCCATTCCTTTCTACCCTCATTATTATGACAAAGTAAGCAATACACAGATTTATAGATTTGAAGAAACAACTAATCAAAACTATGAAAATCATTCACATTGTTAGATGACTGTTGTTCCTTTTCACTTTTTCAGCAAGCTCTCAAATTTACCCTTTTTAAGAGACCTTCTTCATTTAGTATGTTTCCCCAATATTGAAATGGCAGGTTTCCTGAGGAAATAAACCATGTTTGTTTATGGATCACTAAACAGATGATCCAGGATCCCCTTAATGTTGGGAGGCACTTAGGATATCTTATTTCATATCCCCAACTCCCCAGGCAGTTGGAACTTAATCAAGATGAAAAAATTAGAAGATGAAAAGTGATGCAGATTATTGAAATCTGGTAAATCTTGTCATAATTATTAGTCTGTACAGCAGGTACTCTTGGCTTCAAGTAAACTCCAAAATATAGAAAAGGGAAAAAATAGATTTCTGTAAGGATAAAGCTATTTTTATTCTTACCAGCTAAGAGGGAACTTCTGCCTAATGGAATAATGAAAAATGACATCTCATTTCATTCCATGTAACACTAAGATCACAGCTTTAAGACAACTGAAAAACACATCATCTAACACTGAAGTAGTGAGCTCTTCAAAGTGCTGCATAGCTAAGTAGCTAAACCTGAATGGAAGCAGTTATACCTGAATGGAAGATAGGCATTGTTGGAGCCAGATAGGAGTGCTCTGTAGGCTTCTTCTGGGGTCTTCTTTAAATAAATTACCTAAGACAAATAAACAGCAAAATAAGAACATTGCTAAAGAATGGCACAAAACCAACTACCACATTTGCATTTCACTGCTTCCACTGTAACAACATTCATGGCAATGATGTGGGTGTTTAGACAGCAACTTAAGCTGCCAGAATGCCATTTGCAGCTAAGCTGAGCAAGCAGATAAGAGCTCAAAGGACAAGCTCATAAGAAACCATCTAGGGCAATGTATCAGACATGCTGGCTGACATAGCGGCAGGGACACCAGTACCCTCGTTAAACCATGGGCTCATCTCAGTGCGGGGCCCATCGTCCTTCATAGAAAGTCAGGATCAATTCAGTGCCTGGGGGAAGTTTGGGAAGACACAGAGCACACAGGTATCCAATCTACAGAGCGCTCAGCTCTGAGGAAGAGCAGGATTGCTCTTAAAATTCAATAAAATCACAATGCTATCTACTCGTTCAAATACTTATAAAAGCAGCAGGGAAGCTGCCACTTGCGGTACCCAATGAGATGCAGGTGAGAGCACAGCAAGCTGCATTCACTCAACCCTCAACACAGGTGATGCTCAAATCCAGGTAGCTTGGCGGAATGAACTACTAAGAAACAAACACGAAGGAGAGCTCAAAACCTGTGAACAACTTCCATGTGGCCTCTTTACTGCCTGTGTCGTCCGTGCCAGGCCCTGTCAGGATGCTAACTCCCACAACAGAATTCACATGCTTGTGGGATTAGACAAGTTAATGAAAATACCCCCTGAAATCTATGTCGGAAAGCTAGTGACAGAGAAAAGCTGCTGTTTGAGGCAGTAGTTGGGTAGTCTCAATGCCCTGTACAGTGAGATCTAGATGAGGCGTGCGTGGGGAGTGTTCACGGAAAGAGGGAAGGGCCTTTCGCATGCAGGAATGACAAATGCAAGGGTCCCTGATGCTGGAAAGAAGTTGGTGAGCTGGGCAGAAAAGAAGGTCAGCCTGGAAGGGACCCAATACAAGGGAAGGAAGAAGCTGAGCAGAATGAAAGGAGCATTGCAAAAATACTGGAAGGGTTTGGTTTTATTTCGAGCACAGTTTCATATTTTAATACTGAGTCAAGGGCACTTGGTCCTTTTCCTCTACAGCATCAATCTCACTTAATTCCTAAAATCCTCTCTACCCAGAATTACATTTTTTAAAAGATCTATTTGATTTATTTGAAAAGAAGAATTACAGAGAGAAGGGGAGAGTCACAGTTACACAGACAAATCTTCCATCCTCTAGTGCACACCCCCCAAATGGCCACAATGGCCAGGACTGAGACAGCCAGAAGCCAGAGAAGCCTGGGACTCCACCTGGGTCTCCCTTATGGGAGGCCAGAGGTCCACGTACTTGAGCTATCTTCCACTGCTTTCCCAGGCATATTAACAGGCTGCTGTATCAGAAGCAGAGTAGCCAGCATTTCAACAGGTGTTCATTTGGGATGCTATTGCCACAGGTGGTAGCTTGTCCATTGTGCCATAAATAGGAATCCTCTACCTGGAATTAATCTCATTATTTCCTTATTATGCCATTTCAATGATAAGAATGACAAAGTCCCAGCTCTCAAACATAGGCACCTCATTTCTATTTATAAAGCATCAGTATCCATGAAACTATACTACAACCAATATAGTACATGTGTCCACTGAACAATTTTAGGACCACAAAACATTCCAATTCTGAATTATCTGAAGAAGGGAAACTAACATCCAGAGGTTTAAAAAATACCTGTGACTTTAATAACAAGGCTCTACATTCATTTAGCAAGTAAATAGGAATGTCTGATCTTTTATTAAGAATGACTGCATATAAAACAAAAACAGCACTAAAAATTGAATAACCATGAAAGCGCTAAACCATACAGATCCTACAAAGGAAGAATCATGACTTTAGTTGCAGCTCAAATTACATAAACTCATTTCCAACAACCCCACATTTCAAGTCCACTTTCAGTAACCAATGTTAACAATAGGAATCTGCAGTACACTAACAAGCGGGTTATATAACAGCTGGTTCCAACACAGATTTCTTATGTTGCAGCATTTGAAAGTTTTGACTACAGCTGCTAAAAGGGTATTCTGCTAGTAGAAAGCCTCTGTGTTTGGATTAGATAATGAATGCTTATACAACAACCTTTGAAAAGCAAAAATACATTTCCCACCTCGGGAGCAATTACGCTAATTCCCTTTCATTTGGAGGCAGTCATTCAGCAGGAGGGAGGCCAGCCAGCGGGAAACAGTACTTGGGAGGCCTCCACGGGGCTTTGCTCCTCATCTTACCTGCATGACTTAGCACACAGGGACCCATGTTCTCACACTGTAAGATGAGAGCCTTTGTTTTTATTTTTATCCCAGTGTTAAATTATTAATAAGTGCAAAGTGAAACCCAACAGGGGCCATATAAATTCCAGGAAGATTCCTGGGGCATCTTTTACAGGTTGACCTTTTACAACCTGAAGATAAGTATCTGGGGAGAATGGGAGCAAATTCTCCAGATGAGTCACTGTGCACTGAGTGAATACATTCTGGGCCATTAAAATGCCAAATTCCATTTCCCAAGAGGAAACATTGTTGTGCTTCGTCAGCTCTTCTTGGACAAGAACCTTGATTTAAAAGAAATAGAGAGGAAAGAGAAGCAGACTACACCTATCTAAAGTTCAGAAGAAACTACTATGCATTCAGCCTTGCTGTGGAGGAATCTAAGGTTCAGAAGGGAAAGGAACTTTTTAAACTCTCATTGTTTCTCTATGATCATGTCAGAATTTGAACACAAATCTGAGTCAAAAAAGCGGGGGCCGTTGTGCAGAGAATCCCAGTCTTTTTACCAAAGGCCATTACACTTGGTCTTTAACAATTAAGGGACTTGAAACTTTTCAGAGGAGTCATCTCTAAGGAGTAATGCCTGTGGGAAGGACTACATGGAGAAACAAAAATTGTCCAGATATGTTCTAAACTGACCACATTCCTTGGAGTTTGGACACATGGACACAAATGTGTTTTAAAGGTGAAGTGACTAAATTAGCTATGAAATGTAGAAACATGAGCTCTTGTTAAAAGTAAAATCAAGGGACAGGTGATTGCCTCTCATATCACAGCACCTGCCTGGTAGGTCCCCAGCTCTATTCCAGCCAGCTTCCTGCTGGTACACACCCTGGGAATTTTGATTTCTGCCACCCACCTGGGCGACCTGGACTGGCTTCCTGGCTTCGGCTTTGGCCTGAGCCAATCCTGTTACAGCCATTTAGGCAGTGAACCAGTGATGGGAAATCCTTACTCTCCCTTGCTCTCTTTCTCTGTATGTCTGTCTCTGCTTTTCAAACAAAAATTTAAAAGTTATACATTTAAAAAATATAATGTTCAAAATGTATTATCAGACATGTTAATATTTCTAAAAATATTTTCTGCACAAACCAATTTCAAAACATTTTCTAACAATCATCCTTTTTCCTTTTCTAGTTAAAAAAAAAATGCTTCCTACTCTTCTCACTAGATATTAGCATATATGAAAATCCAAGTTGGAAGAATGTTCCCAAACTTAATTTTAGAACTTAACAAAAGCAGTTTGTGAATCATATGTGTACTACTACTATAAAATTACCCTAGTCTTGCAGAAAGTCCTGGAAGCTGGGGTTTTTTTTTAAGATTTATTTATTTACTTGAACAAAATCATAATTACAGAATGACAAAGAGAAAGCAAGAGAGAGAGAGAGATCTTCCACCTGCTATTTTACTCCCAGGGGGTCACAATGGCCATGGCCAAGCCAGAGGAAGCCAGAATAAGAAGCTTATCTAAAGTCTCCTAACATTCGTAGCAGGTGTCCAAGCAATTAAGCCACCTTCCACTGCTTTGCCAGGTGCATTACCAGGGAGCTAGATCAGAAATAGAGCAACTGACATTCTAACCAGCATATAAGATGTCCATATTGCAGGCAGCAGCTTTATTTGCTATGCCATCAGAAACAATCTCAGAAGAATAACATTTAACATGTATTTCCTTATGTTTAACTGAGCAGGCATCAGCCAATAAAAGTTATTATTTTCTTTTTAATTAATTTTGGTGTCAGTATCAACGATCCAAATACCTCTCAATTGCTTTAGTAACATTCTTAGAGAGCTAATACTGAAACCTATATATTATCAATAATTGTGAGGACTTTATTTAAAACATATGCGCAGTACTACAAGCTAACATAATTGATAATACTCACCAATAGGTGAGTGACACCCAAAGTCCAATGAATCAAATGTTAACTTTCCCAGTTTTGAATTACATACCGCCTTAATTATATACAAAATATTTCATATCATTTCTGATGTGAGGTGTTTATATAGTTGCTATACATGAAAAACCTGCTATTGAATCTATACATGAATTAACATTAACATATATAACCCAGAATTTTTAACGTGGAGCCAGCATTGTAGTATAGCAGGTAAAACTACTGCTTGCAATGCTGGCATTCCATATGGGCACCATTCATATTCCAGCTGTTCCACTTCCCATCTAGCTCCCTGCTAATGGCCTAGGAAAACAGCTGAGGATGGTGCAAGTGTTTGGACCCCTTCACTAATGTAAGAGACTCAGAAGAGACTCCTGGCTTTTGGCTTTGGCCCAACCCCCAATTCTGGCCATTGTGGCCATCTGCAGCATGAACCAGAGGATGGAAAATCTGTGTCCCTCCATCTCTTTCTATATATCTTTGAAAATATATAAAAATAAATCTTTCAAAATCTTAACTGTCTATATATACCACAAAATGAGAAAGTGTAAAAAATACCAAGTTTGTGCTGATTTTACAGAGCACCAACAGCCCAATATGGGAAGTTAAATAAAAATCCACTTAGAATTCATCTGAAAATACTTCTAAATCTATTCTTTTCAAGCTAAATCCTACGATCAATAAATCCTTAAAGCCTGTCCAAAATAACATATATGACTTTCAGGGGCATTTTGTAATTTACAACCTCATTCATCTTTTTCCAACTCACATAATTCAA